TCCATGGTTATATGCAGTTCTCACACTGTATATCCACAAGTGTCACCGCTAGATGCTGGGTACCACAGCTTCAACGGGTATTTGCCGATTCTAATGGTAACACTATTTAAAGAGTGAAGCTCACCTTAAATGGATAGTGTTTCATAAGATTCTTGGCTTTGGGAGAAATCTTAGGTGTGCCTCACTGCTATCCATATACAAACTCTACCATAACACTGTTCAAACTTGAAACAGAGGAATAGAAGCAAGGACATAATTATTGTTTTAATGACAACATTCAAACAACTACCAGGCCCACAATTTATTTAGGAAATTATACACCAAATTTAGTTATTCTTGATTTATACATTTTGTTCAAAGATATCAGTCATATATCCAGCAACTGAAAGAGTTAATTTAGGAATTTATTAAGCACTGCATGACCTGATCTAATTGGACCTGCTTTGGACCAGACTGGCACCCAAAAATAACTTCCAATCTCACGCCCTCTGTAATTCCATCATCCAACAGCATAGGATATATTGATAAACATTACTGAAAATCCTGCTCATTTAAATGAATGGGAAGACAGGAATAATATTGGACTGATGAGTGCCAATTACAGAGGTTAAATGTAACAATACTTTTTTTGGTGTTTGTTTGAGCAGCAAGCTTTCGAATTACAGTATCAAAATATACTAAATCCAACTTTGTTTCCTGCAAACATAGGAAACAATAAAGCAATAGGGTTAATTAAAGGTTACCAAATTCATTAATAGTTTGGGCAACCCAGAAACTCTGTGATATTCGACAGACTGAAATTATTTAAGTGCCTAAAGAACATTGTGAAGCAGACTGTGAAATTTAAGGCTTTTCCTCAAAGGAACATTAACTTAAATAGATTAGTCCGTTCTGACTAAATGTGACTATCTTCTATGAATACAAAACAATGTTAGAGAGAACACCAAGAACCACCATTTCTTAATAATCTGATGAAGCAACAATGTTGATGACTTCTCTCAAAATACACAACTATAGTACTAACCCTTTAAAAGCAA